GCAGAATCACAGCAGAAGCGGCGGGAACAGAGAATGCTTCAGTCCCACTTGCGCTGTTTCCCACTGTGCCTCTACCTCCCCTACCCCCCGTGGAGATGGTGCTAGGGAAAACTGGCTTTTAAGTCGGCTCCCCCAGCATCAGCTCCTGCCCTCCTCCCCCCCCCCCCCCCACCGCCCCCCCTTCCTTTTGGGGGGGGAAGAGACTAGTTGCATCAGTAGTCAATTACCCAATAAACTTCTGCTTATCGGATAGTCAACTAGTCTCTTACATTCCTATACCAGCCTCCTGTCGTGAGCCCCCACATCTGCAAGCCCCTGCTCTGCAGGACCCAAGCAATGCTGGGTAAGTCTTCTAGTAACTTATAATTTAAAAAAAACCCTCCCACTGACTTCAATATGAGCTGCTAGACCAATCCTGAGCACTTCTAAAAACCGCACCTCAAAGGAATATTCCGCTGACACAAACACTCAGGAGAACAAAGTTGGAACAACAGCTGAACATTTAGGACATGAGCATAGAGACCATTTTGTGCCGTAGTCTTTATATTCATTACAGGTATCTATACAACTCTGCACATGTCCCTATGCAGCCAGGACAGAGAAATGCATCATAACGGGTAATGGAAAACTGAATTTACCTCATAATCCTTAATGCCCCATGAATGACTGAGTACTTACAATTTTAGTTGAGATGGACTCAGAGTGAAATGGCCCCATAATTTATAATATGAATATGAAACAAAGTGGGACTTTATAACTGAGACTCCAGTACCAGGGCTTCATTTGATTTACTTTGATGACTCAACCAATCTCATGAGCTATTTTTCATATTCCTTATTTAGAGGACTTACTCACATCTCAGAGAAAGCCTGCAATGTGATAAAGCAAATGTCAGGGAAGTATAATGGGCGGTGGTGGTGGTAACACCTCCCCCACCAAAAATCTTACTTCCACATTTATGTGGCCTGTCTCTATAAATTCATTTCACCCCCCTTCGCCCCTCCCCAAAATAGAATGTGAAGGCCCTGTCTTTTCGAAAAAGGGAGGGGGGTGTCACATTCTTCCTGGCTGGTGACGTTCTACTGCCTTTCACTGAGTTATGTCTAGAGTGAATTTGGTTCTTTAAGTGTAATTTATAACACAAATTACAATATTGGCGGAGCACCCTATTCATTCAGGTTTTGTCTCTTGAAAATTGCCTCCAAGGAGAGGTGCATGAACTTTCACCAACCTCTCTCCAGTCAGACTTCTAAAGCCAGGGGAGTCTTTATAGCATGACTGGTAACTGGAACAAAAAAACCTTTGCTGAAAAGTCCAAACCAGCTCTCAAATGGTTTTCAATATAGCTATTGCTGGCAAGGTGCAAAGACCAAACTCATTGGGTGTGGGGCCAGCATGGTGTTGCACCTGCTTACGTCAGAACTTGTAGGTGAGAACCAGGGGTGTTCTGTTGTTTTCCTTATTGGGTCTGTCCTGTAGTAGGGTACTCGTCTGGTACATCACAGGATCCATTGTCTACTGCCAAGCCCTAAGATACAACCATAGCTGCTCCAATCTCTCAGACAAACACCTACAAGATGTTTATCAAGCATTTTTAAAACTAAAATATCCATCTCAGGAAGTGAAGAAACAGATAGAAAAAGCCAGATGAATACCCAGGGGTCACCTGTGGGACAGGCCCTACAAGGAAAATAACAACACCACTGGTTATCACCTACAGCTCCACAGACCTTGGGAGACAGAACAGTGCTTGCTTACAGACAGCCACCCAACCTGAAACACATATTCACCAGCAGCCGTACATGACAGAAACACTTACCCTGGAAACTATCCCTGCAACAAACCCTGTTGACAACGCTATCTATACAAGGTCCTGTTCATCACAGGACCTAACCACATAAGCCACACCATCAGGGGCTCATCCGCCCTCATGTCCATTAACGTGATCTATGCCATCAAGTGCCACCAATGCTCCTCTGCCATTATATTGGCCAAACAGGACAGTCTCTGCACCAAAGACTACTAAATGGACACAAATCAGAGACCAAGAAAGATAACACATAATGTAAGGGAACACTTTAACCTCCCTGGAAATTCAGTAATGGATTTGAAAGTAGCCATCCTTCTACAAAAAAAAAAACCATTCAAACCCTTCAAAAACCAGATTACAAAGGGAAACAGCAGAACTGCAATTCATTTGCAAATTCAGTACAATCAAATTAGGACTGAATAAGAATTACAAAGGCAATTTCTCCTCTCTTGGTATTCACACCTCATCAACTGCTGTGAATGAACCACATCCACATCCACCCTTAATTGGCCCTTCCAGTAACTTCCTTTTTACACACATACACACAAACACCAAGACTGCGTTTATACTGGCATGAGTTTGCGCAACTACTTTTAACGGAAACGTTTTTCCATTAAAAGTATTTGCACAAGAGAGCGTCTACACTGGCATGTGCTTGCACAAAAGCATCCGTGCCAGTGTAGACGCTCTCTTGTGCAAGAAAGCTCCGATGGCCATTTTAGCCATCGGGCTTTCTTGCACAAGAAATTAACATTGCCTGTCTACACTGGCCTCTTGCGCAAGAATACTTGTGCAAGAGGGCTTATCCCTGAGCGGGAGCATCAGAATATTTGCGCAAGAAGCACTGATTTTGTATATTAGAACGTCAGTGTTCTTGCACAAATACTCGTGGCCAGTGTAGACAGGTGGCAAGATTTTTTGCGCAAAATCTTGCCAATGTAGACACAACCTATAATTTCCACTCCACTGCATAACTCTTATACCCTAATAAATCTATTAGGCAATGTCTACACTGCAGCACTATTTCAGGATATCAGAGGTATCCCAAAATAGCTATTCTGTCTTTTGAGCGCGCCCGGTATCTCAAAATATAATGGGATCACTATTCCAACGTCCCTGTAAACCTCATTCCACAAAGAGTAAGGGACGTTTTGGAATAGAGATTTATTTTGAAATAAGTGCTGCGTAGACAGTGCCAAATTTCGAAATTGACTCGAACTAAGCTACGCAATTTGCATAACTCAAATTGTGTCACTTATTTCAAGCTACAGGTGCAGTGCAGATGTACCCTTAATATCTCAGGTGCCACAGGACTCTTTTAATGTGAGTCACACCAGGGAGGGGAGCAGCCTGTGGAGTGGAAAGTGGCCGTTAGCCAAGTGTCTGGCGCACAAAGACCACGCCTTAGAGATGTACAGAGATGTAAGAGAGGAGAAAGACATAAGAACATAAGAACGGTAGTACTGGATCAGACCAAAGGTCCATCTAGCCTAGTATCCTGTCTGCTGACAGTGGCCAGCACCAGGTGCCCCAGAGAGGGTGGACCAGAGACAATGATCAAGCGATTTGTCTCCTGCCATCCCTCTCCAGCCTCTGACAAACAAAGGCCAAGGACACCACTTTATTCCCTGGCTAGTAACCTTTTATGGACCTAACCTCCATGAAATTATCTAGCTTCTCTTTTAACTCTATTATAGTCCTAACCTTCACAGCCTCCTCTGGCATGGAGTTCCACAGGTTGACTACACGCTGTGTGAAGAAGAACTTTCTTTTATTAGTTTTAAACCTGCTACCTATTAATTTCATTTGGTGTCCTCTAGTTCTTCTATTTAGGGAACTAATAAATAACTTTTCTTTATCAGCCCTCTCCACACCACTCATGATTTTATAGACCTCTACCCCCCGCCCCTCAGTCTCCTCTTTTTCTAAACTGAAAAGTCCCAGTCTCTTTAACCTCTCCTCATATGGGACCCGTTCCAAACCCCTCATCATTTTAGTTGCCCTTTTCTGAACCCTTTCCGTATTCTCTGACATGACTGAGAATACTGCAGTGCTTCCGAGAGAGGCACCATGGCAGCCAGGGACATGTGTCAGCAGACACAGGTTCTATGCCCAGCTTTGTCACTGGCACACACTCCCACCTCCAACACAAGATCTAACACTTTGGGCCTCTTTCCTCAGCTCTGAGGAACAGTTCTGGCCCTCTCTCCTCAAGGATTCTGATAGGAATTCTAAAAGTGTGTGTGAACACGGTTGGCAAAAATACTTCCACCCCCAACGAGGAGAGTCCCACTTTGTCAGCAAGAGAGTCAAGCACTCATGAACGACAAAAGTTCTCAAGTGTAGACATAACCTAAGGCCAGAGCCAGAGCCTTCAACCAGTTGGGATAGAAGCAGCCAAAGGAAGGGAGCGGGAATATAGCTGAGATCACCTTTCCCCAGCATCTCATTGGTCCCAGAACTGTGCAGAGATCTCCCTCTCAGAGCGCAAGGATGCAGGTGGCAGATCCCTGCTACTGCGCAGAGCCAGTCAGAGACTCTAGCTGGAAGGAGGCACAACCACGGCAGGGATCACCAGACTATCAGAGCTTTGACAAGACTTTCTCTGCCTTGAGCTGACAGGAGACTCTCCCATCTCTTCACCTTAGCTTCACTCCACACACTCTTCCTTTTACGCAACGTCCCTAACCCCCATTCCATTTAGTTTAGCCTCACAGGAGATGGGTGGACTACACAGCGTTTGGAGGTCCCATAAGGGAATCAAAACTTTTCAGAGGATTTGGGAACAGGGTGTAGTGCTCTGAGCCAGAAACATCACAAAGGTGGCTTCATGGCAATTGATTGCCACTTGCAGCTGGTTTCAATGGCTCAGGGACTGACCATTCAACGTACGTTTCTGGGTACCAAACAAACCCAGAGTTTGCTGTGTTACATGTCCCTTTCCCCACCCCTTTTGGCTCAGTTCCCAGAACGTTTACTGTTCAAGTACAGGACCCTCCTAAGCCATTCAGTTACAGATGTAAAAAGCTGATTATTTTGCTCTGGGATTGCCCAGTTCAGTCTCAGCTCACAAACAAAATGGGCAGTGGTCACATAGGAGCATTTCTGCAAACCACCTGGAAATGAGCCACCAGGTTTAATCTTAAAAAAAAAAAAAAAAAACAAAAAAAAACACAACTTTCCAACCACATATTTTATTTTATTTTACACTCCATAAAAACATGTCAGTTTTTTCTTTCACATTCACAAGATCTTCAGGAAATTATTGCTATTTCCCATATAAAAACAAACAATTAAAAAAAGGTCAACAGACAAAGCAGCAGTATGTACGGCACTCCCTACAGACACTCAACACAAAAGACAGACAGTCCCCTTGTGAGACAATTTTACCAGAAGAAACATTAGGTTGAAGTGACCGTACATATGACAGCAAGTCATGTAACACTGAACAAGACCACTTTTCCGCACATGGTAAGAACCAGAAACACTTTAAGGGGGATAGAAGATGGCACTGAGACTTTTAGTCTCACTTCCATCAATTACAGTTTCAGTGGGTGAAAGAGTAACTTTGAGAAGGATTAGAGAGATGTTCAAGTATTATAGGGTGGTTCTTAAATAGAGGAGTTTGTAGCTCAAGCAAGATAAGCTGATCACTTCAGTCCCTGGTTCTCTGTGTTAGGTAAAAGCACATTTAGTACAAAGGCAAATGCAGAAACACAGGAAATGTCACGCCTAAATAGATCAGTGGTCCATCTAATCAAATTATCTTGTCACGAAGAGCAGCCAGTGCCTGATGTTTCTGAGAAAGGTGTAAACCCCCTCTAATGCCCCGATTTTGCAATTAAAAAAAAAAACCACAAAGGGAAGTTTCTTCCCATCCCCACCTTCAGGTCAGCTTAATCCCTGACACCTGAAACAAACAAGGGAAAAAGCAAAATGAATATTCGAGTGCTTGCCTTCCCTGTCATTTCAAGGATTGTGCTTTGTTTGATGTACTCTTTCCTGCTACAGTTGTTTATTGCTTACACTTTAAACAAGGCTGTTACAGTTTTTAAAAGCCACAGGAATTGAGCAACAATAGTATAGGTCCGACCCTTTTACACTGAAAGGGTTCCATTGTTCCTTAGGGATCTGGAAGTACAGTAGTGGTTGCACTCTAGCAACTTAGAAAAGCATGAGGGGGGTTGTTTTTAAGAGGACATTAAATCTCTAGACAGCCTGCCCTCTGCATCTCACTTTTGTCTGAAGTCAGTGTCCATATACAAAAGTTATCACCCACTAGGACTATTCCATTGGGGAATAAATCCATGATGCCTTCTGTATTGCACGGTCATGAAATGTTCTTATCGGAATCACAGTTGGTACCAGAGGAACATATTAGCTCTAATTTCCAATAGGGTTCAGCATGATGAAGATGCAGTAATAGGACTAAGTTTTAACTGATGGACCGGAGAACGAATGGGCACCGAACTCAAAACTGAGGTAGGAAACTTGTAACACGAGCCTTCAAAGTTTTTGCTTAAAGTCAGTTCTTCTGCAAAAAAAGACACCGCTTCTCTTTTGCATGAGGCAACGGGGGGGCTAGGAGTGGAAGACAGGATCTCTGACTCATACTGTAGTAATTGGCCCATGAAACCAAAGTTTGGTGAGATCAGACTCCTACGTTGCTTGATGTAATCAAATGCCTCCTCCAGGCGGAACTTTTTCGTTTTCATGAGATAAGCCATGCAGATGGTGGGGGAGCGTGAAATTCCGGCTTCACAGTGCACCAGGATTTTGCCTCCAGCTCGCTTCACGCAATCTGGAAAGAAATAATTTATTACAGACATCAGTTCTCATTACAGACAGGAAGGGTGCTGAAGTACAAATGATACTGAAAACAAAATACATCATCTAGAAGAAGTCACATGGTCCAGACCTCTAGGAGGAGGGCGAGTCCCCCTGTTATTTGATACACAAACAATTCATGATCATGCAGTGGTTCAACAAAAAGCAGAGATGGGTCTGAGTCAAAAGGGAGACACCCTTCCACCTAGCATAACATCTTCATATAGAATAGTGATAGAAATGTAGCCGTGTTAGTCTGGGGTAGTTGAAGCAAAATGCAGGACAATGTAGCACTTTAAAGACTAACAAGATGGTTTATTAGATGATGAGCTTTCGTGGGCCAGACCCACTTCCTCAGATCAAATAGTGGAAGAAAGTAGTCACAACCATATATACCAAAGGATACGTTGTGACTACTTTCTTCCACTATTTGATCTGAGGAAGTGGGTCTGGCCCACGAAAGCTCATCATCTAATAAACCATCTTCATATAGTTTGTGCTCAAGGTCATCCCTGCACAGGCCGAGTTCTATTGCCTTAACCCAAATAAAGCTGTAATCATGCCCAACAGGAGTTTCACTGGGGATAGGACTGCAGAATTGAGTTTGATGGGTAAGTGCACTTGGGCAGCTAGTATTTTGGAGATGAACCTGAACCTCACTTTGGCTTTGAGACACACTATACTTATTTGCCTATTTAAAAAAAAAACAAACTGTCAAAACACCATTCTACCAAAACACACTTAAATGATTCCCAACTGGAAGACAGAACATTATGGGTTTGCACTAGGCAAGTATCTCAACCTAGGTCGGAAAGTCTCACTAAAAAGCACGGTGGGTGAAGATGCATAATCGCGGGTTCATCCACGTCAACATTGACTGTTAGAATATCCAACGAGAGGAGAACTACGGTGCCATAGCAGACTTGTAACAAAGAGTGCACCTGTTGGCTAGCCGGGTAGAACGGCTGTTCAACCTGGCAGGCTCACTGCTGTGTATTAGCAAGATCGTCTCACCACTGCTAAGACAGGCTCTTAGCCAATGACAAATACCATCTCTATGCCTGCCCTGGGTCTTTTTGAGACGCCTCCTCACACACACTTACAGTTGTGTGTGTGGGGGGAGAGGTTAGTTCGATTCCTGTGGCTTATACCACAAAAAACACAATAAATAGTATAACGTCTCTAATTATAGCCCAGTTAAAGGATACTTGGACTTAAGTCAGGCTATAAATGGCTTGTGCAAATTACCATTTTCCACATCAGGAGGCACTGAGGTTACTCACCCAACACAATTATTGTTATTAGATTAAAGAAGAAAATGTTTAAAATAAGCTCCTTCCATACAAATCTAGTTTGAAAAATAGAAATTCTCTGGTCAGGCTGGCTTGAGAATTATGTTCCTGAGTTCCACTTCACTGAGAAATGGAACATGAGTGTGTGTTTAGTACATGGCCCTAAAACAACATAAAACACTGAACACGTTGTCATTTTCCTTTTGTTGTCTGGTAAAGGACCAAATTTGCAGCAGTCAGTTAAATTTAGGTAAAAATAATACATGTGCTGGGACTGCTGTTGAAATCTACAGAGCCTGTGATATTAGAAATAAAAAGGAAAACAAAGTTAAACCATCCTCAAAATGTTGAAAGTTCAAAGTGACTCAACCTCAACCAGAAGAAGGGCAAAAATTCAAAAACTCCCTACTGATTGTGGGGTACTGGAGTTTCCCCTTAAATGCAAAAAGCCCCGTATGTCATCATCATCAGAAAGCAATTATAGGCTAGAAATGTATTTTACAACCTGCCCTTGGGTTTTTTTAAGATTCAGCTGAATTTGAATGACTGAACTAAACTGCCAGCAACAAGCAGGCAGAAAGAAGAGACTCCATAATTAACTTTGTGATACCTTGGTTTTCCTTTCAGATGTTATTGATAGCTACCCTTTAATGATGATCAATAGCACAAGTGTCCTATCAGTATAGGATAAACTTAAAAAACAATAATCTGGTAGCACGTGTACATGGTATCATGAGCTTTCGTGGGCGCTCAGCCTACTTCTTCAAATGACTGGAGTTTTATACCTATCAGTATAGGTAATCCACCTCCCTGAAAGTCAGTAGATAGAATTCTTCCATTGACTTACTCCCAATCCAGACAGTGCTGGATTGACGAGTTTTAATGCCACCTCTCAGGGGTGTGAATTTCTCACACACCCCTAATGAGGTAGTTCAACTGACCTAATTTTCTCATATATATCAGGATTTAGTGAACTATTCAAATTTTGCTCTCCACAAATCTGGAAGAGATCCAGGAAGAAACTATGCTCTCAGCCCACATGCTCCTTATTTGCATTGCTTTTATGGTGAGAAAAAATTGTGTCTGTTTAATTCTATACACAATTACAATTAAGCTTGGACATTTGCAATGACATCTGGGATTGCATGAAAATAATTTGTACTTTTCCTTTTCTGGGAATGTGTGTAAAATAGTTGCCACATTTAGCTAAGAGGTATTTTAAAAACAAATCTCATTTTAAAGAATGACTAAATGCAGTTTTCCCTTTCAGAAGTTAATTTGTATGCCAATCCAAATAGATTTTCAACAGATCTAGATTTAGTATTTCAACAGTGATTTTCATATTCAGGCATAGATCTAAGTGTAAATCTAGTTTTCCAGTGTGTGTGCTCTAGTGGTTCAGAAAAGAGAAGGCAATCTGATTGCTGGGTTTATACCTAACATTACCACCAGTTTATCAGGAAAACCTAAAAAACTCGAACCGCTGCATATTTCAATTGGCCCATATGTGAAATCAGTACAATACTTAACCACAGCTTTGGGCTTATGATTCGAAAAGCACTTTGAGTTCCTTGGCTGAAAGATGCTATAGGTCAGAGTTTCTCAACTTTCTTATTTTAAATAAAGTACCCCTACAATTTTTTTTATAAGTACCCCAGTACCTACAGTTTTCAGACACAATTTTTTTTTTCTGCCGTTGCAACACATTTGTTTAAACAACTTAATTGTAGCCAGGCAGGCGATTAAATTTTTTGGTGTAAAAAGTACAAAATAAAATGCTGTAAAACTTAAAACAAAAATTAATTTTTCCTCCAGATTTCAGTTGTGTGATGTACTCGCTCTCCCCCCGCCAGACTTCTCTCAAGTACCCCTAAGGGAATTCATATCACTGGTTGAGAAACACTGCTGTAGCAACACTGCTATAGATAGAAGTACAGAGTATTCCAGGGTTTTGTTAAAATTCAATGACTCATTTTTATTAAGAAGATGCAGTAGAACTGCTCTACCCACCAATGAAATCTATGGCTTCCTGGAAGTGAGAGCTGATATCTGCCATGTGACTGTCTTCCACTGGGATCCATTTATAACAATATTGCTCTTTAAAGGGTTCCGAACTTTTCCTGGAGACGTTGAGCAAGGCTGTGATGTGCAGGTTGGCTAGGAACTCACACTTAGAAGCATGATAGGCACTGCCAAGGTAAAGGAAAGGCAGGATTTCAACTGGACCACCCTGGAAGTTAAAAATAAAAATGTTATTTTACTTTGTCCTTTTCCTCAAAGTGAGTCGTCTTAAGTTATGACCAAGTCATTGAGCAGAGAACATCAGCTGAGCCGGCGTGTCCCTGTCGGATGGTTTTAGATCCTGGCCAGTGAATCATTATACTAGAGCCCACACAGAAGAAAAGTTTTCATTTTCTTGTCCACATCTAAGGTCCAAAATCAGTTCCAGCCCACTCACGGGCAGGATGTTTCCTGTTTTCTTTAAAGGGCTTCCCCTCAGAACCCACCCAAAATGCTTTCATATGTGAAGCTCATTTCCCTGAGGATTGCACCCTTCTTGTCGCCACACAATGTCAAAGCAATGCACAAAAGGTGCACAGAGACAGCCAGTTAGGGCTTTCAGTGCAGGGCTTGGAACCCACGCACACAGCGTGTTAACAAGAAACTTCACTGTGCCCAATTTGTAACAAAAACCAAAACCTCTCCCACCCCCATCCAGCGTCCTGATGCCTAGAGATTTGTCTGTGTTTACTGGAGGGCTGCTTTGAAAGCAAACCTGAAAACAAATGGATTTAAGCATGAAGCACCTCTCTCACCCACACCTAAGAAAAAAAAATGTTCACAGTGACAGCTGGTGTCTGTTTGCAGAGCCTCCCCCGACCTCAGTGACAAAGCTTAGCTTAGCTACCATTTCCTGCATGCCTATAACAGCAGTAACATGGAGGCACAAACTCAGCCACGTCATATGTGCCACTTACTCCCTCCTGCTGCTCTGGGCCACCCACAGCTCCCTGCCACCGGAGATGTAATCTCTGTTCCTTCTTCCACTAAAGGAAGTAAAAACTAGATGGAGGGGGGAGGGAAGGAGGAAGGGGGAAACAAACCCAAAAGAGTCTGACAGAGAAGCATTTTGAAGTGGGTGGATTCAGCAGGTAGTTTATGCTCACTGCACAGAAACCAGGCTGGACGGCACAGCCTTCATTTGCACTTGGCTGAATACCTGCCTTAGTCTGGCTGTTAAATCTGGGAAAGCGACTGGAATCTGTGCTTTCCCTTTGCAAGTCCCCTCCAGACACCATCCAACAGGGAACCTTTTAGTAAATGTTTTGTTCAGCAGCAAAAAGGAATGAACGTTTTCAGCCCGCTCAGGACCAAACCAGGCTTCAGGTTCAAGAAACAGAAACCTACTGAACAAAATCATCTTGACGCCAGACAGAGCTCTAAGCAGAAGTACTCCCCTGGGTGCATTTGTAAATGTGAGGATTTTCCCATTGGAAATCCCACCAGGAGGAAGTGCCTACCCTGCATGTCCTCATCTTGGAGAAATTGATCTTAATCTAAACAATACACTAACCACAGAACCCAAGTCCTCCCGCTCTCACTCATAGGAGTAGTTCCAGTAATTTCAACTTGGCTACTCATTGGACCTGATCCCACAAGGTGAATGGCCCTCAAAGATCCCACTGGTGGTTTGTTCCTGTTAAAATGAATATGCATCTGTTGCAAATTGCAAGAGTGGTTCCTCGCCTGTCATGCAGGGCAGTAGCTTTCAGCCTTTCCAGGAGTCTGATTGTGGTGAAACTTAGACTATGCAAGACCACTTAAAACTTCTTGCTTACAAAATCAGTCAAAAAAAAATGCAAAACATGTCACAGCACACTGTTACATTGCTGACTTTCCTATTTTTACCATAGAATTATAAATCAATTGGAATATAAATATTATACTTGCATTTCAGTGTATAGTATTGAGAGCCATATAAACAAGTCAAAAATCTCTATGGGTATGTCCGAACTAGCGGGGTAGTGTAGGCATACCGCACTTGCAAATGAAGCCCGGGATTTGAATTTCCCGGGCTTCATTTGCATAAGCGGGGAGCC